TCTCATTTTCAATTTACTTAGTGAACAAACTTATAGATGTATTTTCCCTCCAGCTTGTTCACGTGAGAAGCAGCAGTTTGTATCTTTTCTGGAAGTTTCTGTCTGAAAGTCTTCTGTATATTTATGCAGCTGAGACGTGGACGTCTGTTTACAGAACAAGTTACAAAATAATCCATATAATTATAATTAACAGTAACGATAAGGACGTTTATTTGTCGAGCAAATCAGACACACAAGCAGAAAAACATCTGGATTTAAGAGACGGATTAAAACTACAGGATGGAAAATAAAAACAGACGTGTTAAAAATAAAATAATGTTTTATATTGTGTGAAATTACAAGTTTATATCTGAATATCTGAAACACCCACTTTCTTTTCTTAATTCACGCTGAGTAAACAGTTTAATTTTTACAAATAAATACAGTTTAAGGTCCTTTATTGTCATTTATGTTTAAACATTTAACTTAACGAGCGTCCTGTTCATTTAAAAACAAGCTTCTGGAGGTTTATGAAGCAGCGACTGAACAAATGAACCGACTTCACCTTGAGAGTCGGTTTATTTATCCGACCACAGGCTGTAACTTCACAGGTTTGAACTCCCCTGATGCTGAAGTCACTCATGTTCCTGATTCTTCACCTGGTCGGCTGCTCGTCTGCATTTTTCTGAATCAGAAGACAGAAGCTGCTGCTGCTGCTCGCTAGCCGTTTGCCTCAGGATGTGTTTTGTGGCGTCGCTGTGCTCCGTGTTGGCTCTGCAGGATGTATCATGGATCCTTGGCATAAGCTCAGGAGACTGTCATCCGTTTAAGCCTGGCAGCAGATGAGACTTCGTTTCCTCACGCTGGAGGAAAAAAAAAAACAGGCAAAAAGCAAAAAAAAAAAAAAGTTATGGTTCCCATTTGTGGGAGGCAGCGTTGGGTGACAGTGTGCAACAGAGTGAATAAAAGCAATATCAATTTTTCAGAGAACACTCCAGCAGCGTGTCAGGCAGCTGAAAACTTAAATATCTGGAAGGATTAGAGGACAAAGTTGTGCGTTACGCAGGCAGGAGCATGCTCACGCCTCGGCTTTAAAAACACATGCAGCAGATAAAAGAGTGAACTTTTCACTGGCGCTGAAGTCGTGCTGCTTAACGAGACGCTCTCCAGAGAAGGCCGAGCGCAGAGCAGACGCCTCGACGTGACCTTTCATCAGCAGCTACGTGCCATTAGGACGGAAATGTTTTATGTGCAGTTCATCCAAACAGTCCAAACGTGGCCTGTGTCAGTGAGTTAAACATGTTTCTGTTCTGTTCTTGTAAAATCAAATCAAATCAGGTTTATTGTCATGTTGCTGTACAAACACAGCAGTACAGGCAGGATGACAGAGCGTTTCTTCAGGATTATTCAACCAGCAAGTTTTGCAGAATGAACGTCTGGGATAAGAGACTAAACGTTCACTGTTGAAGGAGGCCGCTGCATCCATGTGCGCTGCCATTAAAATATGTTTAAACAAATAAAAACCAACCAAACAAAAGTATCGTCTTTATTTCATTGAAGCAGGATTCTGTGATGTTTTAATATGAGGTATAAACCAGCAACAACACAACACAGGAGTTAACAGAGAGTAGGGACGCTATTTATAATAAAAACCCACTTTATTTATATGAATTACTTATGATAGTACCTGTAGATGCTGTCGCTGATATTATGTCACCTGCAGGGAAAGTTCCCAAAGAAATTACACAAAACTAAATGACAAAGTAGGATCCAAAAATAAAAAATATGCCCATATTACAAATATATATCTATATTTTCCTCATTATATTTAGCATTTAAGCATAAATTTAAAACTCCATAACTCAGGCATGTCTTCCAATAAGCAGAGAGGCATTAAGTTGAATATATGATGACCAAAGTGACTGAACACGACCTATAAGGTTGAATCCTGAAACATATTTTCTCTTAATTATATTTGGAGAAATATTTCAGAACTCCAGAGCTCTGTTCTACTTGGATGAAGCTTTCTTTACAATTCTGTGACCAAGTATTTCATATTAAAAATGATTCTATATGTTTTGTATTATTGTGACACACAACTACATCTGGTTGAACAAACCCCATCACCAGTTGATTTCTGTAATATAAATTATTTTATTCATGTGAGCTCATAGATTAGATTTTTATTGACATGCTTCAACAAAAAATGTAAAAAATAAATAAAATTCAACTAACTCACAATCAAAAATTATTATATATTCAAAATCAATATTCCACATTCTGAATCAGTAACATGATAAGAAATAACTTTAATAGTTTCTGAGATATTAGTTTTCAAACAGCCTCAAATTTTAATGAAAAGAAAAAAAAATGCAAAAAGTGGCTCAGGAGGCATTTTTAAAAAATAATCTTGCAAAGTGTTTTATAAATCAAGCTAAAGCTTCACCAGTATCTTTATAAAAATCCCTTTTTTACGTCATAAAAATGTCCAATCAGAGATGGTTGAGCGGATTTATTTATAAAACATCTGATGACTGATTTTCTGCATTAATGTAAACAAGCTAATCTGTGCTGAGCTTCTGTGCAGCGAATAGCACCAACAAGCCAGTTAGCTGCTAGTTATTTAAATAAATTAGCCAGTTAGCTGTGTTATTATCGAATGTGACGTTGTTGTGAGCCAAACTGGATCGTTTGGTCTCTTTCAGACTCCAGTAACAGATTCTTTTAGCGCAGAAACCACCGGAGGAAGCGCAGAAGCTAACGGAGCTAGGGTTAGCCCGGCTAAAGCTAGCTGCGCAAAACTCGACGACTGTGGCGCAAAGGACAGAAAACCCGCAGAGAGTTTTTCAAGTTTAAGCAGACGGAGGGTGATGAAGTGCCGGTGTGAGGTCAAACGAAGCTTCCCGACCTCCTCCATCCTCCCCGGGGCTAGCTTGGTGCTGCTAACCGGGACTAGCTTGGTGCTGCTAACCGGGGCTAGCTTGGTACTGCTAACCGGGACTAGCTTGGTGCTGCTAACCGGCGCTAACATCTTATGCTAGGTAAGTGCCATCCATAGATACTGAATAATTCTCTTTAAATTCAAACATTACTTTATGAATGTGCTACAAAATTAGCATTTTAATATGTTTATATGTAGTGCTATAAGTTGGGGTTAAATATTTGGGCAAAATATGTATTTTTCTGTCACTTTTTCCGTTAAAGTTGAGCTTCAACTCAACATTTCTTGTGTTATAAGTTTAAATTATGGTGGAATTTTATCAAA